GAAATCAAGGCTTGTAATTCAAAACAAGACAAACCTGGAAACTGTTCTTTAAAGGAAAATAACAAGTCTTTTCCACTGAAACTGATAAAAAACATCACTGCTAAGCCTAGTATACATTTTTACAACAGAACGCTTTGGAAATCAAGAGGATGTTGTAGCACAGCTCGGGACAGGCTTTTGTTCTCCCAGAATTGCTGCAGTTTGTTAACAGAGCTTTTAGGAATGCCTCATTTGCAACACAAAATATACATTAAATATTGTCCAAGTACAATTTCTGCATAGGCATCTAACTCAGCTTAACTTCACAGCACTTCTAGAATAGATGTAAAAACATTGTTTTTACAACACTTTAAATTTAATAATACACATTTACAGAGAATAACTACTTCCAAGGAAATACAGTCTTCGTAAGTATTTACATATTTCTGCAAAATCCTCAGAGTAAATTTAAGATTCCTGGTGAATGCAAGACTCAATTACACCATTTCACGTCATTTTTCTGCTGTTTTTATTAGAACTTACCCGTAATACTTGTGCAGTTTAGGACAACTTAGATATTAAATACCTGCAGATGTTTTCTGTCTTGTTTACAGTTCCAGGGACTTACACAAAAGAACAGCTACAGGATTCATGAAATCATGGGGCACTTCACAACAAAGCTGCATTTTGGTTTCAATCTTTGTCTGGCTCAAGTTTTAGATTTATTTTTTTTTTTTAGGATACTATGCTTAGTGAATTTTAGTTACTCCATGGAATTATCACCATAGGAATGTACAAGTACAGATGAGAAAAAGTACTTCTCTTGGGATGAAGACAGTATGACAGTACTTACAAAACATTTATTTGAAGTCATATGAAGGTATAAATGAAGCAATACCAAACTAGTAAAAGCTACCATCTGTACAATAGTCAAAACATACTTTTCTTGCTCCTTTAAAACTTACAGTTTCATATATTACAAAGCAGTTACAAACTTGCCATATTTAGGGATTGTAATCAAATGCTGAACACTATGAAATGCAAAACAAATTAGTTACCAAAACAATTTTAATGGAAATTACTTATGGTCACTTCCCTCCTCCCACCCCAATCAAGGACAAAAAATTCTCAGTTTTAGTCATAAACTAGGCTTTTAATTCAACAAGCTTTCAAAAAAAGAGGGGTTTTGACGGGAGTTTTGGGGGTTGGGTTGTTGTTTGTGGGTTGGGTTTTTTTTCCAAACAAGAAGCCTCTCCAAGTAATTTTCTATCAGGAGTTCCAACAGTACCAAACTGTGCGGGCTAGTACAAAAACGTACAACGTGTGCTTAAAAGGCTTTTGGAACAGCATTTAGTAGTTAGCAGGCTGCTGGTGTCTTGGGAGAGGTCAAACGGCGCTGGGGAGGGGAAAAAGGAGTTCGTTCTCCATTCCTGTGTGCATGCAACAAGCAGCAAAACACCAAAGTTACTCCAGTTAGCTTGGTATCAGCTCTGCTTTCTGTTAAAAAGGACATAATACAAATGGAGAATGGAAATTGTAGCATAAATCTAGACACACAATTACATCAACATAACAACACAGCCCTACTGACTTATCTTCCAACAATCTATGTCATCTGTTGTCAAATTATTTTTATTACAAACCCAGTTAGGTGATTGTGCTTTAATTAAGTTTTCCAGTTCTGCCTGCACTTACCTGGCTGAAGTGTTTAAATGCACAGACACTGAAATGCACTATCTGCACTCACTAAAACTCTGGGTAGCCATCTAGTCAAATGTCAGTGTATCAGTCTTTAAGTGTTAATACACTAGAGAGTTAGCCACTGTGCTTATGCAATCAAAGTCAATGTGATTACAGGAGAAATCATGTTAAGTGCATTGTTTTTATAGTAAGGCTCAACCCTAGGACAAAGCACCAGACTTTGAAACTCCCCAGCCATGTGCTTAGTTCTGTAACAAAGTGTTCATTCCAACTTGGAAATGAAAATAGTTTTTAAAACACAAAAAAAAAAAAAAAAAACACCAAAAAAACACACCACCAATTTCAAAACAGAGCAATGGAGGGAGTCTAAAATAATGCTAGAAGGTTCATTTCCACAATGGCTTCCTACAGACTTGAGGGAGAGGAGGACCAGCACTGGAGCAGGGTGGGGTAGTCCTGCTGGCAGCAGCACAGGCGTAGATAAGGATGGTGTGAAACCACACCCTGTACACAAGGTACTCAACAGCCCCATCTCCCTCTAGGAGCCTGAGCAAATAGTTATCTAGCTTTGGAGATCACAGAATCGTGTTTTGGGTGGAAGTGATCTTTAAAGGTCATCTCATCCAACCCCCAGCAATGAGCAGGGACATCTGCAACTAGAGCAGGTTGCTCAGAGCCCCATCAAGCCTCATGTTGAATGTCTTGAGATGGGGCCTCCACCACCTCTCTAGTCAGCTTGCTCCAGTGTTTCACCACCTCATAGTAAAGAGCTTCTTCCTACTGTCTAACCTCAGCCTGCCCTGATCCCCTTTCCAGGACAGCACTGTGTCTCAGTAGGCTTTTGCTAAACAAAGTAGGACCTGGAAGCAGATGCCCAGTCTCCCTTCTGGCTGGAGACCTGGCCCAGCACCACCTCTTGCTCACCCATTTATCTTGTGAGGAACACATGAGAGCCCTTCTCTGTGCAAGGCAGCTAAGGATCTGGAAGGCAGAACTTCCAGATTGACTGCTGAAGGGGGGCAAAGGGTACTGTCCAAAAGCAAAGTGTCATAGGACCTTTCAGATCAACGTTTATAAAGTGAAAAAAAAAATGTATTAGTAGCTGCACATGGATGGAAAGGTGATCCCAAGGCCATTGAAAAAAAGAAGGTGGCCACAAAACTTGTCAGCTGCTGCTATGGGATCTGGCCACACCTAGCCCTTAGACAGGACACATCCTGTACAACTGACTGCACAGACCCCACTGTACAAACACAGGGTCAGTGTATGTCCAGATTTCAGTGTGCACAACTTCCAAGGGTTTTCAGGAGAGGCAGTTCAGTTTACCTACCAACCAGCAACTGGGACAGAATGAAAATCTAACAGGGAAAGCAAACTAATCTGCAGTAAGAATGCCACATGAGAAAGATTAGAAAACCCAAAACTTTTATTGAACTGATGTTACACCTGCAAAAATGGAAGTAAACTAAACTAGCACTACTACAGGACTGTTTAAACCATATATTATATGAAGGAGCTTTTCCTCCTTCCTCTCTGCTACATTACCCCATTGAAAACCAGAATTTGCTGCTAGCATTTGTGCTTCACTTTTACACATACACCTAAAACACAAGGGCAGTTACACAGCAGTACGATGGTTTTTCCTCATTTGAAACTATTTCAGGAAAGTTATTTTTAGTGATGTGAAAGGACTAAAAGTGAAAATAGTTGTCTGCATTGCTTATCTGTCCAGGATGATTCAGTATGGCTTATGGTTTTGTTCATTTTCCTCTTAGCTCTAGCACAACAGACACCACCACAGAGCAAAATGAGAAGAGCCTGGAGAAGTACTCATGCAATAAATGATATTGCACTTAAAAAAAATAATTACAGAACAAGCATGAAAGCTAAGTGAAATTAAGAAGATAGGACTCAGAGACAGGACTATTTACTGAAATTTATTCTCTCTACTCATTAACCTACCTGCCAGCAGATGATCCATTTAGTGAGTTCTGTAGACTTGTATTGGCTGAACCTAGAGAGGCATTAAAAATTCCCTGCTGAGAGCTACCATTCACTGGACTCCCGTTACCTTTCAGTATACCAGTACACTTCCAGTTGTCCATGTAATTAGCTGAAAATACAAATATATATATATAAAAAAAATTAGTTTCTCTTCTGAAGCTCAGCTTTTGATACCACTACGTGATGCTTCCCCTGCTACACACCTGCTGTAACTTACAAGTGAACTTCAATAGATAGCTGAGGATCTGGCCCCTGAGCTGCTGGACATACTCTGCCTAGCCACCATCTAACACTCAGGTTTGTTCAATAGCAAGGAGTCTCCTTTACTAAAATACTAAGAAATGAGACTGGGTGAGGAAACTATCACTTTTTTTTTGTTATTGCTGCTGCTGCTTTCGGAAATTTAGACAAAAAGCCAGTTTTGCCAGTCACATTGTGACTGAAAGCAGATCTCCTGGGTTTGGCAGCAGGCAAAGATCGCAGTGCAGCATGTATGTTAATTTTACAAGTGACAACATAGCTCAAGTTTGGTGAAACAGTTCGAGGGTACAGCAACAACTACTGGCAGCTGCCTAAATCATGTGAGTGTTCCAGCACAAAGTTACTTCTTTCTTTCAAAATGTAAAGAGAAATATAAAAATCTACCATTCACAAACAAACTTTGGCTCCAAAATTATTTTTTGAATATACTGAAGAAATTTTACTCAACATACTACAAAGTGAAGGTATTTCAGGTGGGTGACCTTACCCTTCCAGAGCCTAACGCAGCCATCATCACCAGAGGAGGCAAGCACAGTGCCTGTGATGTTCCAGCTCACTCGCCACACCTGGGAGTTGTGGTTATCAAACTGTGCCACAATATGAATTTCAAACTTGGTTAATCCTCCCGACGACGTCAATTCTTTCCTGTTTAAGACAAAAGAGGCAGTTCTGCAAACAGCTGTTCCGAGGCTTGAGCTAGAACATGCTGACAAAAAGAGAGGAGTGTCTTTCAAGGAGTCCCTATAAAAATTATTACTTGGTAAGGAATATTCAGACAGAATTACAGACGTGCTCTCCATCTTGTCACCTTAAAAATCTGTCTGCTGAACAATTCTGCGCACATTAAGTGACAACTTTGCTTTGCAGATATTGTTAAGATAAGACTGTATAATATCACCACATCATACCAAACTATCTTCCTTTTAAGCTCACCTTAGGGGTTTTAGTGTGAAAATTCGTACATCTTTGGTTGCTACAGCTAAGATGTGGAAGGACCTTCCCAGATTGGGAGCAAACGCGATGTCATGCACAGGATCTGTGACTGTCATCAAGGCTTCTGCTTTGGCGTATTTCCTGTACGGAGTAAGAAACCCACCTTTAATGCCTCAAAATGGCCAGTGATGCAAGGTACATAAACAAGACATAGTGGAATGGGGGAAAAGGGGTTAGTATACATGCTTGAGACTTGCCAAAATAAAAACATTAAGATAAATTGTAATAATTACAAGCTGATTTCTTCAGAAATCGAATATGTCAGACACAGTAACTACTAACAACAGTATGTGCATCACACAACAAGGCAAGGATCCCAGGACAAAGGGAACTTCTGTCTACAAATGGAAAAGGGAAATAAAAAGATTCTTCCATTCACAAATCCAAAGGGCATTCGTGTGCCAGTAGCTCACTAAATGTTCTGTACTTGTAAGCAGACCACAATCTGCACCCTCCGCTGCATGACAAACACCTACTCCATTTTCTTATTTACCACCAGGGAAGTTACTGCTTTGTTGTATTGTCAATGCACAGAAAAGATTGTCTGAAGCCAGGCATAAATCCACAGAACACCTCAGCTCCTTTCCACACCAACCACCCTGCATTAAACACAAGTTCTCTGTCATCATTTAATAGAAAGTGGTTGTGGACATGCTTCCTGGCCTTTTCTGCTTCTCAAGTCTTACTTGGACAAACTGAACTTTCACACAGTGCCAGTAATTCACAGGACCCTGTCATCAGAAACATGCTTTTAAAAGCATTTTTAGGGTTGCCTTGAATGTGTCAAGTGTAACGCTATTCTAATGTCAGCTGTGCCCAATGAAAGTTCCTCCTGAAATGAGGTTGGAGCCAGGTAGGGGGTCAGTCTCTTCTCCCAAGGAATAAGTGATAGAAATGGCCTCAAGTTGTAGCAGGGGAGGTTTAGGTTGGATATCAGGGAAAATTTCTTCATCAAAAGGTTTGTCAAGGCCAGGAACAGGCTGCCCAGGGCAGGGGTGCAGTCCCCATCCCTGGAGAGGTTTCCAAGCTGTGGAGATGTGGTGCTGAGGGACACGGGTCAGTGGAGGCCTAGTAGTGCTGGGTAACAGTTGGACTCAATCATCTTAAAGGTCTTTTCCAACCAAAACAATTCAATGATTCTATTAAATTCATTGTGTAAAATTAAGCATATAAATTAGCAGAAACAAGAACTCTCCCTTTCAAATGCTGGTAAGAGCAGTGGTAATTCTGCACTTGGACCAGCATTACCAATACCAGGCCTGCTGGCCTCGGTCGCCATTCCGAGGTCTCCCTCTCCTGTCCCTGTCCCACAGAATTCAGGTACTGTTTACCACTCCACTTCTAACCACAGGAATAAAACAAGAGCCCCTATATTGCAAACACCTTTAAGATAAGATCCCACAAATGTTACACATTGTCCTTTAGCATACCTTGTATTTTCGTTATATTCATAAATTTGAACCTTAGCCAATATATTTGGACTGTTGTCATCACTTCCCACAGCAATCATCGGAGAATGGGCTCGAGAGCTGAAAGGTGAAAATAAATAGTTCTGTTTACAAATGGTTCCACAGGAAGTTCACTGAGCCAGTTTTTTTAAATTTCAGACATGTTATCTATAAAGAAAACAAAGAAATAATTTTAAAAGTATCACAAGGAAAAAAAAGGAAATATGGGAGGAAATATGAGTAAGTGCTATTCACAGAAACCAGTATAGGCTCCACTCTGTTGTTTTGAAAACCAACTTAATGCACCCATTAAGGTGAAATCATTAGAGAACATCATGTGACAATTCAAGATGATGCTCCCAGAAAGCAGGATTGATTTTATAGGTTCAGTACTGCCAAGTATTTGCCACAGGTTTCATGGCAGAGTCTGTGTTCTTTGCAGTACTTTCAATAATGGATTGAGCAGGATTTCATTCAGGTTTTGGAAGACTGATTGACTAAAGCTAAGTGGAGGTGAGTTCTAGTTTTTAAATCAATTTTTAACCCCATGCCAGGCATTCCAGTGAAAGCCTGTACTCTGGACCCTCAGCACGGACTACTGCTGAACAGAGGAACTGGATCAGGATCCAGATCACCCCGTGGCCATTCGGTGCCTCTGGACCAACAGAATCCAAAGCAGCGCTGCCCAAAATGGTTTTCCCATCATGCTGTTGCTGGGGGAGGATGTGAGGTGGGAAGCAAAGGAGAACTTGTGCTGGTACGTCTCCTGGGTGGGGACTACCCAGCCAGCACACTCCTCTCCAATTTTATCCTGTTCAAAGCAGTTAAGTGTATCAATGAGCCCCTTCAGAAAACCCCAGTTAATTTTTGTGGGATACATGAAGGGCACTCCATAGCTCATACTTGCTAGAAATAATTAACCTGAGAGTATTTCCTCACAGGGCACAGGAGGACTTTTTTTCTAACACTTCTCTGACTCTGCCAAACTCTCTTTATGACATGAAATGTTAGCTTTCTTTCAGATCCAGGTAATATACACTACATCTTCTCCATCCTCGTTTTAGGATTTATTCTACAAAACTTCATAACTCTTTGGATCTTCTGCTTCAAGAGTCATAAAGCAAAACTTATAACAACATACCTTGAAGGATTCCAAGAAATACAGCTGCAGCTTAGCTTACAGGAGATCTCATGCTGCAGCGACCACTGACTGAGGTTCATCACATCTGGAGCTTCATAAATCCTGACAACTCCATCTGCTGAACAGGTTGCTAACATAAGTCCCATATGCTTGGGAGCAAACTTCACATCTGTAACAGATGTCCTACTGTCTACTAGAGTGGTCCTCTTTACCTGCAAAGAAAGGAAGAAACTTTTGAAGGAAATGCTAGACATTTCCATCAAAAAGTTATCCCCTAAGAAAGGCTAATGAAAGTCTGACAAACTCAAAAAAAACCACCAAAATTATACACCAGTGGATTGGAAAGGCAACAGATCATTGCACTGATGTGATTTCAAGCATAAGAGGGATACTCACAGTGGTATCCAAGTTCTAACACCAAAAAAAGTCGTTTAGATTGTGCTCCTCAGTAGAAAGAGGAACTTAACAAAAGCACAAAATACAAGAGTATTGGCCACAAGAATCTGGAATTGTCCTCTGCATTCCTACTGGGGACAATATTAACTGTAACTGCAATGCCCAACAATGTTGCCTGCTGATTTCAGCACTTGTAAATATTTGTTTTTCAAGTTGTCTCCTCTCCTACCAAGAAAGTGTGTGAGTTTGAGCTGAAAATTAAGTATGCATCACAACTGCCTCCTTCACACAGACATCAGCTTTCCCACCTCATCAGGTGCCAAAGGTCCTGACAACCCAATTCTGGGAAATTCTGTACTTTAATGTCAGAAAAATTTAGTAGAAAGTACAAAAATGCAGCTACTTTAACAGCATAAAGCAAAACATTAGAGGCAGGTATACTAAACCAAGTTATTTAAAATTACACCTGAAGAATAGCTGTAAAATAATCTCTTTAGACCTGAAAATTCCCTTGATGAAATGCTACCCAGAAAATCCACTTCCCAGCAAACTATTTCCCTGCCAAAACCTGATGGACATGTTGTTTGAAAGATGAAAAAGAACAGCATGAGACAGTTTCAAAATGTTTTCTTCTTGTCACAGAAGAAAAACCCCACAACTTCAATCCTGCTGCAGATGGGAATTCATGTCTGCAAGTCGCTTGCCAGGGAACATCTTAAAAAACATCAATAGCAGTGACACTAATTGGCCTGAATGTTGCCATTTAGCTGTTTTCCCCAAAGGCTTTAAAAACACTCTATACTGGAATATTGCCACAAATCAACAAAACATGGGCAAAATCAGGCACAATGTGTAGTAACAGAAGAAAACAGGGTGCTTTCTCTCTCTCAGGAATAGAAAATATGTTGCAAAACCAGAAATGTCCAGCAACCTGGTATTTAGATCAATTTGCATGTTCGGTGCTCTGTCCAAATCTGTAATTTAAGCATCTTAAACCTTCAGCCCGTTACGACAAGCAAACCAACCAAGGAGGCACAGTAAACCTGTTAGTATGAGAACATCTGAAAGCTGTAATTAATAAGTTAAAGTCTCACCCAGTGACTCTGGCCTCGGAGCTTATCATTTGACTCTCCCACTATTTCTTCCCATACAGCTGCTGTTCTGTCAAAAGAGCAGGAAGCCAGGACCTGCCCAAATTCAGGATGGGCCCACGTCACACGCCACACAGATCCACTGTGTGTCTGCAAGGGAACACCAAAATGCTCTCAAGAAACATGCTTGCTGTATTAATCCAAACAATCACACGTTTTCACAACTTTCTGCAGAAGCAGATTCTAGGAAAGAAGTGAAGCTATTCCATTGAAAGCTATGTTCTCTTTTAAAGTTTAAAAGTTACATGGCAGTTGTAGCCTTTGTTCATCCCTATAAGCACTGCAAAGCTTTGTCACTATTCTTTCATGGTTAAAAGTTAGGTATTACAAGCACAGTTCAAGGCATTATTTATTACTCCTTCAAACTAGAAGTTCCAAGCTAAGATTCTGCCTTGACACCAAAAGTACAGCTTTTTTTTTCAATTTTCAGCTCCCTTCTAGCCTGCCTGTACTTCTCCAAAGCATGTACAGAGCACTACTTAACTTCTTTTTTATATGAAACTCCTCTTCCATTCCTAGTCAAAACTTCTTTATTTTAGAGCAGGGGAATTCAAAAGCTTCACTTGCATTTCCATTTACAGAACTATTGTATTGCAGTCATGTTAAACACAAGGTTAAGGACAATTCAGCAGCTGAATGTGTTAATTATCCTTATGAAACAGAGTCTCTGTATGACACAGTTTTCAGAAAGGTTTAAAAAGAAAAATACAGGTCAGATATGGTAATATTTAAAAAAAAAAAAAATAAGAGGTCTGGCTATTAAATAAGTCTTGCAATATGCAGAAAGGAAATATTAAGTTAAAAATGAAGGTACTGTTTTCCAGCTCCCTAAACATCAGTTACTGCTACGTTCTACATTCATACATCTAAGTATGACTAAGAGCAGACTGTGTGCTAGGCTCTGCTGAACATGAGCCATCAGAGATGTTCTGGAGAAGCAGAGAAGCATTTTCCCATAGGAAATACAGGATCTACAATAAACTCAAAGCACTCCCACTCTGCAAGTCTGCAAAAAACATCTTCAAAAGCAAAGGAGAAACTCTAGTTAAGACAGTGTAATTTTTACAGATACAAACCTTCCAGCTGGCAGTGCAATGCCAATCACCATTTTCACTTTTGTCCCAGACCTATTGAGAAATCACAACACAATCTCACAGTTTGTTTATGAGGGTTACTAAGTAGTACTACAAACCACACCTGTTTTTGAGTTTGTGTGTACACCACAACATTTTCACGTGGGAAACACCTGGCTCAGCACACAACCACACCTCACCTGACCCTGGAAATATCTCTACTACAGGCAGGGAGAAGAGGCACACACCCGCAGCACCTTGGATCTGGTCACAACCCCCTGAAGTGACTCCTGGCAATCACCCCAAAGCCAGAGCAGGACAGCAAAAGGGAAATCAAGCTAGTGAGGGAACAGATCTTGTTTCCATTTCAGATATTTCTCCCTTGATTTATTAACACAGGCAAGTCACTTAAACCCTCCTTTCTCTGCATTTCCCACACCTCTTTATCACTTTTTCCCCATGAAAAGTTGTGAAGGAAGTCAGGAACAGTCATGTAGATGTCAGGGAAGTCAAGCAGATGAAAGACACCCCCACAGGCCTTCCATCCACTGCAGAACTTCACCAAAAGTCACCTTGCTTCAGCCATTCCAGACCTCCAACTCAACCTTGGTTGTTACCATCACAACCCAACTTCACAACTTTTCCTGCCCTTCTGCAGGACCCACACCAGACACATCACTGCTGCTTTTACAAGTGTTGTAAAACCCTGTGTAGAGCAAAACTTCCTACAACAGTCCCATAAAGGACACGGTTATGGCTGGAAAGTAACACACACTGCTAGAGAACACAGGGTCTGAGTTCCAGCTACCTCTGTGCAGCTTTCTTCACACCCTTTTTAGGCTGCAAGTCTTACGTCTTCAGTCCAAAAACTGATGTGGGTTTGGCTGACTTCTCCCAGGACAGGTTTGGGAAATTTTTCGTGGAGTGAGTTTTCGTTTGCTTTGTAACAAATGGTAAGGAAGAAGGACCTCATCCACATATGACTGTATCAAATTTTTCTACGGAAAAGCCATTTTCTCAACCCTTTCCCTGGTCTAACAAAGGATTCACCTGCTCTCTGCAGGTTGCATTTCTGAAATCCAGCCACATAACTCCACAATTTTTGTCTGTCTTTTCACTGTGTGCATAGAACAGAGGGAAAGCAATTAAAGTAAGAGTAAAGGAAGAGTTACCGTCTGTAAAGGAATGTAAAAGTAAGGGGTTTAGTACTTCAGAGTTCCCCTAACCTACCAGTGCACGCAGAACGTTTCAACCTTTTGCTTTACGGGCACTTCTTCAGGCCCGGACCGAAGCTACACTTCACACTCGTCCATGTACAGCCGTACGAGCACAGGCCCCCTGGGGACGCGCCTTCCGCGTGAGCGCGCCCGCGTCCCGCCAACAC